GTTTATTGAACAGGAGGTTATCACTTGCTTCTTGTTTAGGATATAGTTCACAGCTTCTTTCTTTCTTTCTTTCTTTCTTTCTTCCAAGGCTTTAATGATTTAACTGTCTTAAGTTTCTGGTGATCTTACTCATCATTGGATGAGACATTCCGTTATGAAGATAACAGATTGACAATTCTCTAGCTGGTGCGTTCGACTAGTAGTTAGAAGCCCGTAATCTTTGGTAGCGAAATTGCTCTGATCAACAAGTATTTGTAGTTCCATATTGCGCATGGGTTGGTATCTTTGCATGTATTTCCGGTTGGTACACCTGAGGTCACATTACGTTCTAGTCTCAACCACGTTCTGGCTAGGTTTTATTGCCATTGAAGACAGATGGTGATAACTATGTTGACCTTTTACTTTATCTCGTCAAAACACATATCTTCATGACAAAAACAATGATAAGAAATACGAGAAAACCAGTAAACAAAAAAATCGCCTAGCCACTCAATCTTTCTTTCTCCAATATTCTTGGTATCCGTTCCAACTTCTACAGTGTAGAATCTTTTCTCTTGGAATGGTAGCCAGATATTTTGCACTTTGTGAAACCAATTCAATGAAATCCCTGTTCCAGATTATCTTCCTCTCCACCGAAAAGATTCTTGCATTCATGTTCATGGCCTTGGAGTTTACATCCTGGATAATCTTTTAGTGGCAAGGGAATTGTTATTCGATTCCCCTGACAATTCTCTCATGCGTTTTCGAATTTCCTTACTATACTTTGTAAGCTATTCTGTTTTTCTTTATCGCTTCCCCTTTTCTCAGAACTGCAATTTATTAGACAGAATATCTGATATTATTGAAATGACGCCCTGTCTTCATTAATCTGCGAATACCTTTTTGTTTGGTAACTTTATTGCGTATCATGCTAAATGGCTTAAACATTCTAATGTTACTGATGTTTCTGGTATTCAGGCTTTCAATTTATCCGTTGTTCAGTCTCTTACTCAAATCGTGAATTTTCCTACTCGTTTCCATAATAAATCAACATGCTTCTATATTTGATTTGTTCTTTACCTTACCTCCTCTCCTAGCTCTTGTCGCACTTCGCCACAATGTCCTTTTGGCAACTAGGAACACACTATAGTATCTATTGATAATTCATTCCAATAATCAGCGACCTCTTATTAATAAAAACTCTTAACGTTACCAGCATGCTGATTGGGATTCACTTTGTGTCTTTCTTCAAGATGCTCCTTGAATTGACATTTATAACGTTCATATTGAGAATTGCGCCACTGAGGTTTCCTCTTTGGCCAAAGCCGATATATATGCATTCATTCCCTCTCAGATATATCAGGTGAAACCTCAATCTTCTTCATTGTTCATAGCAGTATGCTCTGCCACTATAGCCCACAGGAACTACTATTTCCGGCTATACCAGCACGATAGTTCTCACAACAGACGTCTATTTGTTGTCGCATGTAATAAATGTAAACTCGTCCTCGAAGAAGCAAAGTCTCTGTTTGCTGAGAGAATGAGGCACCGTGTTGCATGTAAATATTTTGGCTCTTATGATTACTGGCGGCTGTGTAATAGTGTATTAAATAAGATTAAGTTCTTTATCTCTCCTCTTTTCAATCATGTTTCGCTCGTAAATTCTCTTTAAACTCTCGTCTTGACTCATCGGGAGTATCCTTGCCTAATTTCCCACTTAGAACGGAGTCCCTGCTGAGTGATATGCATATAACCTATTCTATGGTTTACTGCTGTCATCTCAATAAGTATGAAACGTCACATTATCAGACCAATACGTTGGTCTGCTTTCTTTTAAATTTCACTGTTGTGTTTAGATTGTAAGGTGTTCGACACTTAAATCCCAAGATCTTTTTGATTTTTCCACCTCGTCAAGTTAAACTCCATTAAAGTGTAGACATAATGTTTCTTTTTTATTTTCAAAACAACACATTTTCTAGCGTTGAAAAACCAACAACCATGTGTTAAACCAAGCCGAAAGTTTGTTCAGATCACTTTGTAGCACTTCACAATTTAGTACAACTAGCAAATATATTCACGACAGAAACAGTTGTGCCTGGAATGTCATTAACCTATATCAGGAATAGTAAACGTCCCAATATTGAGCATTGGGGGAAGCCACTGCTAACTTTAGCCCACGAAGACTTTCCATTCTGTAAAAATATTGACTTCTGTTGGTAAGAAAATATCCAATCCACTTTAAAACCATTCATCGTGTTCCAGCTTCTTTCAAACTGAAAATTAATCTTTTATACGGTACCATATTAAATGCTTTCGCGAAATCCAGGTACACTATGTCAGTTTGCCACCCATCCTGACGAGTTGCTTTCATTGCCTTCTTGCAAAAAAAAAAAAAAAAACAAACCAAAAACAAAAAAAAAAAAAAAAAAAAAAAACGATGGAAACCAACTACGCGTCTTTCATTGCTTTCAAGTGAATTAAATCGTATTTTTAGGTGTTTCAGATTCTGTATACACGAAATAATTCCCACAATTATATATCTGCTCTAAAAGCCTGCTTAAAATAATTTCAATAAAATTTTATAAGTCTGCCATTCGTCCATGCATTGAATATTACTATCACATCTGGTCTGGTGCTCCTGCTATATATTAAGAGATAAAATTCAAAGAAGCTATGCAATGTTATTGGTCTTGATCTGGCATCTCGGCTTCAGGCACTTTCCCACCGCCGTAACGTAGCTTCCCTGTGTCTCTTCTATAAATACTTTCATGTTAATTGTTCTGATAAACGTTTCTCTATGGTAATTACAACTACCTCACTCGTTACGTGACAGAGATGTCAGTTCTCTGGTAGATGTGGGGTGCTTTTCGTTTTTCGAGTTCGTATTTCGTAATTGTTTTTGTATTTAAGTGAGTGATTGGGCGAATGATTGTTATTATTTACCAAGTCCCAAATTAATTTTGTCCAGTTAACGGATTTTTCTGCCACATTTAAGTAGTGTGTTTTTTTTTAATTACTAGCACTATTTTGTTTAGTTTCTTGTATATAAATTATATTCATTGTAAATATTCATTGGGGTTTCATTTTTAAATGTTATTTCATCCCACCACCGACGAATTGTACATATGGGAACTAATTAGGAATACGTAGAGACTCAGAGGTATTACGGTACCTGTAGAATTGTAAGTAAGAACGTGTTGTTTTGATTTAAGGAATACTGTTGCATGTTTGGGTCAGTAATTATTGCTAGCGAAGTTTAAGATAAAACAGATTGAAAATCAGCTTTGCGCTCTCCCTCCTTTTGGGCAAATTTTTGTATTATGCAAAATAAATATTACTTTCCTCTATAGTACCTAGACATTATGAATTGTAGCACGGTACTAGATTGGCAGCAAGGTCTCATCAATTTACAGTTGAAATAGCTAGAGGTAACCGTAAGTTCTATACTAGCAGTTTCTTCTCTCACACTTCTCGTTTGTTGAACTCTCTTCCGGCTTCTTGCTACCCAGTCAAGTTTGATCTTCACAAATTAAATGCAATGTCAGTCGTTATCTACTCTCTTCTTCATTGTTATTCTTTTATTGTCTTCTCTTCTTAATAGTAGTTTCTCTTATATTCTCTAACACTCTTGCATCCTAATGACTTTATTCCCTTGTTTGTGGGGATATATATATATATATATATATATATATATATATATATATATATATATATATATATATATATATTTGTAGAAATATATTTTTAAGGTGTGGTATATTTATGGGATAAAGTGCTCAATATCAGAGATAGAGCGTGTGTAAATATAAAAGTGAACGTTGAAGTCAGCACTCAGAGGCGACAGGCCGTTTTCTGCTGGATGCAATCGTCAGGTCACTTGACGATTGCGCCTAGCATGAAATAGACTGCAACCTCTGAGTGTTTACTTCAATGTTCACTTTGATATATATATATATATATATATATATATATATATATATATATATATATACTGGGTCTCACGGGGAGGAACGATAAATTACACGCAGATCAAATTTAAAACATGTTAAATATAATATTGGGGTTTAAATACAGAAAAAAAGATGTAAGTAGGTGCCAGTGTAAAAAGAAATTAATAAAAAGGAAGCTTAAATTTAAATTTTTATCGGGTAACTCGTTAAGTAATAATAAACGTTAAAATGGTTAAAGGGGGGTAATCAATATCTAACCTAAAATGTCGGAAGTGAAAGTAATATTTGGATAATATATTTACCCAGAATTAAAATATTTTAAGAGAAATCTTTTCCTATATTTACAACTTAACATTAGCTACTTCCGTCTATTAAGTAGATTTCGGTCATTAATATTTTTGAGGCTGAATCTATATATATATATATATATATATATATATATATATATATATATATATATATATATATATATATACTAAAAGCTAAAAATGTTCACCATACATGTTAAAAATGAAAATGGGAGTATAAAGATGGTGGGATGGTGTTGCGCCAGTGTTTCAAGTTGATGCTATCCCTGAAAATCAGCTTTCCAAATGTCGTCTTTTATCAGAACTCAATTCCAACCTCTGATACCGGTAGGAAATACCCAATTACTTTTGTCATCGATCTGCACTACCTTGAAAATACATACATACATACATACATACATACATACATACATGCACACATGATTTCACACACACACACACACACACACACACACACACACACACGCGCGCGCGCGTTCAAATGTCACGAGTGGACTATTTGTCCTATCATTTCATTTGCAAGTGTTTCACGCTTTTTTCTCTCTCTCGCGTCCTCACCTAACATCTGTTCCCGCCCAAATAACATCCCCCACCCCACTTTGTCCTTTCTGACTTTCTTTTCGATTTCTTCTATTCCGCGTTCTTTTCTGTCACCAAGGCGCGGGTCGACATCAAACGCTGTTGCTTTCTTGAGCGCTGTTTCAGGTGTGGCCATCTGTGGCCAACCATAAAGGGACGTAGTTGGCGGGAAGAAAACAAAACAAATATCAAATAGTAAAAGAAAGTAAAAATAAACGCATAAAGGGGAAAAGAAAAAGAAGAAAATTCTCTCCTTTTGATTTGGCCAACAATGTTGTTGTTTTTGTTATTCTGTTCACACTTTAGACATTTTGTCTTTACCACTTGAGATTTATCAACGAAAAGAGTATAAGAATGATGCAAGAAAAATGAGGAGGACAAACAAATGAAAGGAAAGGGGTAAAGTTTAACATTCGTATCCGTAAAAAACAAACAACACAACAACAAAAAATGGCGTGAAAATGACGGTTTTTCTCTTCACACCGGTTTTACTGTTTCCTTCTCCGGCATTTTTTAGTATTTTAAAAAGCTATATTTAGAATTAAAATAAAACCCAAAGATATGAAACTGGATTTATGTCTTTTTCTTGTGAATTATGCGTTGTGTTTTTCTTGTGAATTATGCGTTTTCTTTTTTGTTGTGAATTATGCGTTTTCTTTTTGTTGTGAATTATGCGTTGACTTTTTGTTGTGAATTATGGGTTGACTTTTTGTGTGAATTATGCGTTTTCTTTTTGTTGTGAAATATACATTGTCTTTTTGTTGTGAATTATGCGTTGTCTTCTTGTTGTGAAATATGCGTTGTCTTTTTGTTGTGAATTAAAGTGTTTATTTCTAAGAATAATTTTGTATTTACAAGTTTATAGAAATATGTGAACCAACGAAAATGTAATATTTATCATTTACTATATAAAGAAATAAATATGAAAACTATTTATTTACTCTTAAATTTATTCGAAAACTTAAACAAGCATATAACTATATGTAACTGTATAAAAATTCTAAAAATATTTTTTGAAAACAATAAAAATTACTGAGGGTGTATACCAGGAGGAGGCAATCTACGGCACGCGTGCTACACGTGACACGCCAAACAATTTCCAATGGCACTCAGCCGCAAATGACATCACGAAGTCCGTACCAATGACTATGATAGTGCAAAGAAGGTATTTAGCTATTTCAAAACTGCTTCCTCGTTCAACTCTCATTAATAATAAAAACTAAAAAAACTTTTAAAAATAGTTTATTTCTATCAATGTGGTTTACATATTATTTTATATATTACTATATAAAATATATTGTAGAACAGGTATACTGACCTTGACTTGTATAAAAATACATACTGAATGATTTTAAAACCCTACGGTGGAGTAATGGACTGCGGCTCAGATTGAGGAATCGGAGAGTCGAGTTCGAATTTCAGTCAAATCCATTACATTCACTTACGTGCTAATACCCTTGGAAAAGGTATGAATTCTCTTCTCTCTCCAGCTATGGGTAAATAACAGGACAGACAGGTTCTATAGCCTTGGATGGCAACTGGTTTACAGAGAGAAATGGCAACCTACTTCGGAAAAAAATCTGCCTTGTCAGTTATATATCGAAAAGAAACATAATCGCCTAAGCGTGTATCTCGCATGGTACATAAGTGACTGAAGTCAGCAAAAAGTTGCCGATCCCCTGGTGTATATAGTAATAAAAGGTGTCAAGAGAAACACCATCACTTTGGTGAACTGTTATTTTTTCCTTTTTGAGGGTACGGATGTTAAACTTTGCCGGAGGAGGAATAGAAATGAAAGAGAAAGGACTCTGAAAAAGGTTGTGTAGATTTAGGATAACAATAATATAAAGTAGAAATCAAACAAAATAAAGAAGAATAAAAGAAAAGGAAAAGAAAAAAAAGTGCCAAACTCATGAATATTTATAGGCTAAACAACAGTAATTACAATACTGAAGAAATGAAAGAGGAAAGAGAAAGAATTTCCATATTTTTTTTCGCCCGTGAGAAAAAGAAGTTAAAGGCAAATATGAAAGGAGATGTTTTCCATGACCTGTTCGCTCAGTGGAGTTCAACATCCGGTAAATTTCTCTTCAAGGAATCAGACAGAGCAATAGGAGTTACTGGTTGTTGCTCATCACCTTTCTAACTAACACGCATCAGGTTACATAGAACCGGTAGCAAGGAATGATCTCTGACCTATCAGTTATCGAACGCTTTAGACCAGGCAAGGGCGTCACAAAAGAATAAAAAGAAAACAAAAACAAGCAAGTTAAATCAGATGTTAAAAACGAAGGGATTAATTCAAATGTTAAGTCTTAAAGATTCCGTATATATATTTTTTATATTGTTATCATATCCTCTCTTATATAAAATATACATATCGAATATTTTTAGATTTGTTATCCTACAATAAGAGCAATGGATTGCGGCTCGGGTTGATGAATTGGAGATCCGAATTCGAATTCCAAAGGAATTCATTATATTCATTGACCTGTTAATAAACCTTGGAAAAGGCATGAAGGTAACTCCCCTCTTTTGGTTAAATACTGGGACAGATTGGGTTCTATAACCTTGTTGGCAACCGGTCTATCACAGAAATTGCACACAGAAAGAAATGGCAACCTACTTCAGGAAAATCTTCTGCCGAGTCAGTCATTATTCGGAAGAGACATGATAGCCCAAGCCAGTATCACGTATAGCTGACTATCTACAATAATTTTGTTTTGATTTTAAATGAATTTCTTTTTTGTTCTTCGTTCGAAATTATTTTCTGGATTAAGACGGATGAGTATAAACCTTTTTCGAATACGAGATCTGATCAAAAATTATCAGAACTGCTATAAATAGAAAACTACAACACATATCACTTCGGCATTTAATCTCCTGCAAAGCAGTCCTCTCCCGAAGCCACACATTTTATTCAGCGTCGTTTCCATTAATAGAAGAATATCTGGAACTCCTTTTTGGGGATAACGAGCAACTGTCTTGCCGCATTATCCCGGGTTTCCTCGACCTCTTGAAATATTCCTTTTAAGTGGGATTTGACTTTTGAAGAGGAATAGGTTGCAAGGGGCGAAGTCAGGGTAATATTGTTGTTGTCGGACCTTGGGAATGTTGTTCTTGATCAAAAACTGCTCATGGTCATTGATAGAACGTCTGTGGTGCGATGAGACGACCACACTCTACACACTGTCCTACAGCTGGAGTGGGCAAAAACGTTATGACAGTGTGTATACGCGACGGAGTTCGAGGTCAGTCTGTATCAAGCAGCGTCACTCTGCGTACTTTAGCTCCGTTACCATAGCAACAGTTCCGAAACCTTTTCATCAGACATAGTATAAGACTGATATAGAACTTTTAGTTTGCGATTTATTTTGAAAATTAATGACATTAATGATTTTAGACGACTGCTAGATCATCATCATAGATTGAAGCGAAGAAGGCTACATTATTCTGATTAGGCGGTTGAAGTCCATCCAGTCCTCTCTAGTTTTGTTTACACTGACTACAAGTCTAATGAGCGCCAACTGCTATTTAACCAAAGATGGATGGAAAAATAATTTCATGAGGTTTAGTGTACAATGAGCACACATAAAATGTCTTTAATAATAATAATAATAATAATAATCTCACGAGTACAGCCCATACCTTACGAAGGGTTTTATCTATGTAAAGTGTGTGTGTGTGTTTTAATTGCTCAGTGGAAAATGTCATGATGCCCTTTCTGACTTTAGATCTGTGGGCGGGACCCGGAAAGAAATGAGTACACACCAGAAATCAAAGGAAATAAAATAAAAATAATAATAATAGAGTATGTTTTCTTATTGGCATGACAATTCCTGCAGACTGTAATATATCTTTGAACATTTAAAAAAAAAAAACTATTAAAATACTAGGACCTTGAAGTGAGAATCTAAAAAAAAAAAAAAAAATGTGACGCGTAAAGACATCAATAATTCCATTTGTAGTTTGATTCCTGGTTTTGATTGAAAAAAAGTTTCTCATAGATTCATTGAAGGGATCCCTGGTAGCCAATGCCTTAAAAAAGTAGTACAACTCACACCTTAAAAAGGCCTTTATCTATGCAAAATGTATGTGCTTTTAGGTTGATTTATTTATTTATTTTACAAATATGTCCAATGAAAACATCATGATGCCATTTCTGACCTGGTTGGGACCCGGTTGGGACCCGGAAGGATGTGTGTACAATGGAAATCAAAAAAAATAATAATAATAATAATAATAATAATAATAATAATAATAATAATTATTATTATTATTATTATTATTTGTTGTGACCAAGTAATTGGTTAAGGAATAATAAAACAAGAGGTTGCAAATAAATAGTGTATTGAACAGTAAATACAACAGAACTTGGGAGTGTGTGTCGGTTGACCAGCGTTCAGTCTATATCACTATCCCCCCCCCCAAGGCTTACTTTCCTACTAACTTTATAGTAAGTGGAAGAGTCCACAGTAGCCTCATTAGCGGGAAGACACCACAACACTATTATTATCATTATTATTTAAAATTACATTTTAGAAATATTAGAATGAGGTAGAAAAAGAGAAGATTAAATAAGATGAAAATAGACAAGACATATTCGAAATACAAATCGCCTGTTCTGAGGCAGAGATGAAATTGGCGGTCAAATAACATGCGAATATAGCAATTTTACAAGTTGGCTCAAAATAAATGCAAAACACACATGATTAGATAGAAATGTTAATTAAATTTATTTCCCAAATCGTAATAAACAGTTTATATCAATAAAAATAATAAACTTCCGTCAATTATAAAATAATAGTGTTATCTGTGCCGTCAAAAATAACAATTTTCAGAAAGTTTTAATATTGAGACGCTATGAAACAAAAGTTTTGAAAAAAAAATGTACGTGGATTCAAATGTATCGGGATTCTAGAATTCACAACTAAAATAGAGGCCAATGAACCGTTTAATTTGACCCCTTTAAATGTTTTAGAAGGTCAATGGTAACGAGGATGGATTGATTATTGTTGGTATGATATAAACCGAATTTTGTTCAATATCTTTTCATGTTTTTTTTTTTAATCATTTTACCCCAAGCAGGGTAATAAAACCACTAAGAAGCAGGGGTGGG